AGCGTGATCACACAGTCATCCGGAACAGCTGATGCTCTCATGCATGTTTCAGTGTTACTTGCCTCGAAGCGAGCATAGAAGTAATTTAGCTCTTCTGGTAGGCTTGTGTCACTGGGCAGCTCGTGGCTGTGTTTCCCTTTGTAGTCTGTAATAGTTTGCCACATCCGACAAGCGTCGGAGCAGGTGTAGTACGATTCGATCTTAGTCCTGTATTGACGCTTTGCCTGTTTGATGGTTTGTCCGGGGGCATAGCGGGATTTCTTATAAGCTTCTGGGTTAAAATCCCACTCTTTGAAAGCGGCAGCTCTACCCTTTAGCTCAGTGCGGATGTTGCTTGTAATCCATGGCTTCTGGTTGGGGTATGTACGTACAGTCACTGTGGGGACGATATCGTCGATGCACTTATTGATGAAGCCAGTGACTGATGTGGTGTACTCCTCAATGCCATCGGAAGAATCCCGAAACATATTCCAGTCTGTGCTAGCAAAACAGTTCTGTTTCATCTGACAACTTTTTTGCTGACCGAGTCACTGGTGCTTCCTGCTTTAGTTTTTGCTTGTAAGCAGGAATCATGAGGATAGAATTATGGTCAGATTTTCCAAATGGAGGGCAAGGGAGAGCTTTGTACGCGTCTGTGTGTGGAGTAAAGGTGGTCTAGAGTTTCTTTGCACATTAAACATGCTGGTCGAAATGAGGTAAAATGGATTAAAGTTTCCCTGCATTAAAGTCCCCGGCCACTAGGAGTGCCACCTCTGGATGAGCGTTTTCCTGTTTGCTTATGGCCGTATACAGTTCATTGAGTGCGGTCTTAGTGCCAGCATCGGTTTGTGGTTGTAAATAGACAGCTACGAAAAATATAGATGAAAACTCTCTTGGTAGATAGTGTAGTCTACAGCTTATCATGAGATACTCTACCCCAGGCGAGCAAAACCTCGAGACTTCCTTACATATCGTGCACCAGCTGTTGTTTACAAATATACATAGACCTCCACCCCTTGTCTTACCAGAGGCTGCCGTTCTATCCTGCCGATACAGTGTATAACCCACCAGCTCTATGTTATTCATGTCATCGTTCAGCCACGACTCGTGAAACATAAGATATTACAGTTTTTAATGTCCCATTGGTAGGATATTCGTGCCTTTAGTTCGTCCATTTTATTATCAAGCAATTGTATGTTGGTCAATTGTATCTTAGCTCTTTTCGGTCATAAGAGACGGTAGCAGCAACATTATGTACAAAATAAGTCCATAAAACGGCAGCCATCCCCTCTCGCCACCTGTGTGACTGTCCCCCTCTCTGTTAGCATAATAGCATTGATTCAATGACGACTCCCAATGACAAATGAACTTGGGAATGGGAAGCACAGCCCAGCATTCCCTGTGCCCCATGTTGGAGGGGCTCGAGTTTAGAATTTTGAAATGAATTGTAGGATAGAGGCCGACTAGTAGTAACTTTCCTTTGAAGCCTGCAAATTTGCTGACTGTAACAAAGTGAATGTTTTATAGATTAATAAACTAGCTACAAGGCATTCTGGAATCCACAATGTAGCCTAGCCTGTTTCAGCACAGAGAGCCATCAACTTGACAGGGGGATAATGAAAACAAGGCGCTGTTGTCCCCTGGCTGAGCAGATGCTGGGCATAGACAGTGTCATGACTTCATTGATCTGTGAATGAGTGAAGAAGACAGTCAACCCACACAAACAACTGCCTAGACTGGAAGGATAGACCGGAGAACAATTAGGCTAGGGAGTGAGAGAACAAAACAATAATTATAAACACACAAAGTGATAGCACAATAGCTTAAGCTCACTGTATATAGCTAATAGTATGATGTTCACCTCTGCGCCAATCTTACAACTCTCTCCTGACCTGATCTTTATGCTACACTAGCTTCAGGAGTGACAACAGCTGTATGACAGTTTCTCCAAGTGCACTGGGAACGTGCTGGATGTAAGGACCCTCTAGTATACTGGTGCATCTAGGCCTAATCACTTCCTCTTGTGTATGTCAAATTAAATGTTCTATTGATGTCCCACTTCTCGTGTCAGCATAGCTAGCTAAACAAAAATATTTGCTGCGTCTCGGCCTATAGCCCTGACAGCTGTGGTGTGACATGACTAGCTAGCTATCTTTCTAATCAGATCTTCACTAATTATATACTGTCTGTCTATATACACACCACATATTTATATTCTGGATTCTGACACATGCGCACTATAATATATCTACTCTGGATTGTTCATTGGACCAGTTCTGTCATTTCTTGATTTGTTGTTCTGATTATTTGTGTATTGGTATTGTATTTGCAAGACATTCTACTGCACTGTTGGAGCTAGCTAGTTGGTAAAGCCATTTGAATTCAATCACTTCTTAGGGTGTCCACCCACTCTGGCCAGAGTGAGTGAAAACGCGTTTTGGTGATGAAATTTCACGTCCTCATATTATAAATACATTTTACGTAAACAATTATTCTTATTCATGTTCTGAATCGTTCAGTGCGGTCTTCAACATTTAATAACCAGTATATTAAAAAAATCAAATTTCGTAACCTAATACATCCGAAATAAGCACTGAGCTCTGTTGACAGAGCGGTGCAGCTTTCTCACAGTAACTTGAGGATTTTACATATTGTGGTGGTTGTTTTCAAAGTTGTTTCCACGTGTCACAAAAAGCAAAATTAGGATGACACAAGCTGAATTAAATGTAAAATCATTCATATGAAAAGCTTATACTAAAATATGAAAATACAATGTCATGTCTCAATCGAAATCTATATTGTTTAAAGTCCTGCAGATTCAAGAAGAAAGATGAGTTCAACGGGAAAGTGAACCTGTCAGGTAGCCTTCATTCTGGCACAGCATCCAGCCTAGTTGATGCTCTGCTGTGCAATTTTACTTATTTTTGACCAGTTTTTTTCTCTGGCCTCCATTGAGTTAGTCACCCTAATTTTGGCCATCCCACAATGGTAAAAACCAATAACTTTTTAACGGATTATGATAGAGACATGAGGCTTGGACCATTGGTTTTCTTAGAGGATTCTCTACACAATTCAAAGGATGCGTTTTTGATTGGACACCCTACACTTTTTGACAGCACCCCTTTTGATTTGAACGAAACCTTCCATACATATTTGCCCATTGTAGAAATGCTCAGAAAGGGACTTTTCGGACCTGAATGCCAAAACATTCAAGAAGAGATAACGGCGCTCGAAGTTGCTGTCAAAAAGTGACTCAATTCAAATGAATTTACCCTACCATAGCAAAGAATTGCACCTGCTATAACACCTGCAAATCTGTCTGTGTAGGAGACCAATAAACTTGTATTTGAAGTGATGACTGGTAAGGGGAATCTAACCATACATTTCAATTAAGATCATAAAACTGAGATCCCACTTATGCCCTGGCCCCTGCCTATATTATAACTTAGCTAGCAACACAGGCCTAACGGGAAATATCTGTCACAATGGTAATGTTCTGATTGCTTACTCAATTGCCTGCTAAATTGACCCTTTAATATTTAAACTCTTAAGTATCTTTATACTCATTAGCAATTTAGCCCAAAATAAAGACTGCAGCCGTTGATATTGTGGCACAGTTACGGGAGTAGGCTGTCTGATTGTGTATTCATTGCAACAAACATGTACGACTAGATAGCTATAGTGTTAGCTAGCTATTTGGAATGGGTGGCTGGCTGGCTAACGTTTTAGCTAACTAACTAGCAAGCTAACGTTATATTGATTGCTAACGCGCTCAGACTCTGGTCAGTATGCTACATTCACTGAGTATAGTGTATTAACGAATAAACAACCACACAAAAGCCACATTTCTTCTCCATCTTTTACAAGTGTGGGTGTATTTTTAACACACCTTTATTCGGTTTATTATTAGGAGCAGGGACGAAACGGATGTAACTTTGCAGCTGCCGCAAATGCTAGCTAACTAAATTGCTAACAGTGTCAGTGCGGAACATTTCAGGATTTGCTAGCTAGGACATCATGAATCGGTCATAGACAACAACAATATTCTGTGTAATTCGTAAAGCACTGAACAGTTAGTTACCTTAATGATCCTACGGGGCAGTCCTGCCATCTTGTCTTTAATGAGGGGTTTAGCTGTGACTCTTCTCTTTCGTTTGCATTGACAGCGAACGGCGCACACACACCTCTTCCGGTGTTCTGCTCTTTCTGCGTCATGAGACCATCCTGAAAGGATAATGTAAATAGATGTAGCTAGTTTGGAAAATGTATTTTTATTACGGTTAATGGGTATGATAAGTGACAGTGATTGATTGGACAAATCCCCATCTTAAAGTAAGTGATGTTTGTGTAAACATCTGTGATTAATTTCGTTTCATGTTAGTCTTACTGTTGATCAGTTGGTAGAGCATGGCGCTTGCAACGCCAGGGTTGTGGGTTCGATTCCCACGGGGGGCCAGTATGACAAAATGTATGCACTCATTAACTGTAAGTCACTCTGGATAAGAGCGTCTGCTAAATGACTAAAAATACAAAATGTTGCTGTATAATAGACATATGGTATGGTTTGGATCAGGCACACTTGTCCCTTTTTGATCAATTTCAAAGTGTTAATAATTTATTGGTAAGGGGGCAATTGAAAGGGCTATATGCTTTTATTTTTATTTACAAAATGTCTGTGCCTACATGGGTTTCACAATTATTTTTCTACATCTATTTCTGAGATGCCTATGATATGACCAATGCATTGCTCTATAATTTACAACCAGTATCATTGTTGCTTTTAAGGATTATAAACGGAACACAGTGAACTAGCTGTTCTGTTCCCCCATGAGACTAAACAAACCTGTCTATTTCCTCCCCTCAATGGTAAACTACCGGACCAGATCAGGATGCACGGATCAGAATGGAACCTGTGGAGCTCCACCTCTTGACTCATCCCAATGGACAGACACCATTGCCCAATGAGGCAGAGTGAAGCTAGGGGGGTGGACATCAGCAAAGCAGCACAGTGGTAGGGACTTTGGAAAAAGGCTGACTAGAGAGAAGGTGACCAGCTGACTACAGGCATGCACACTCTGTACCAGCACATGAGAACAGGTAGGACCCAAACTCTATAGAGCTGTTTTTCTCTGCCATAAGCTGTCATGTCACTTACAGACTGAAGATGTAGAGCTTAGAATTACATGTGTTCCAATACAGAAATTATTAGATTTTGTGAGAGGTAAGAGCTATGGGATTGTTGCTGTTGTAATTCTGTAAGAATCCTAACTAAATCTGACCTCATTCAAATAATTTGTAAGAGTGATTTAATTGTTATGATATTATTTTGATTGCCATATCTTAAAATGAGTGATTCCTCACGAAACCAGGACAAAAAAATACCATTATTTTGGGGATTGTTATGAAAATTAAACCATAGAATGGTCCTTTGGAGGAAGGATTGTTTACATATATTTGACATTTGTAACTAAAAGCATAATTGAGGAATAATTTATAAAACTTGCCATATGTATGACATTTTGGCCTTACCCAGGCCTCCTGTAAGACTCCATAATGTTTAATCTGTAGGTGCTACAAAACAAAAATGTGTGTCATATGAAGCTTTACCGTTTGCTCTGTAATATGAGTTGTATTTTGATTTCAATAATTATGCTTTTAGATAGAAATGTCAAATATTTGTCAACAATCCTCCAAAGGTCCATTTTATTGATTATATTTAGTGAAAATTGGTATTGGTATTTTTCTGTCCTGGTTTTGTGAGTAATCACTCAAATACTGTATGTTCTGGAGCTAAATGTTTCCATATCATTAAATAGAAGAACAAAGTTTGACTTCTGAATTTTCTCTTAAAGTAAAACAATCTTTCAATTTTCTGTTTGAGTTTTACATTATGGCACTTGATACAAATGGCCTCTTTTGCCATCTCACTGTCCTGTTCTCTCAGCATAGCTTTCACAGAGTTTAACAAACAAAGGGAAAAAAGTATTTGATCAGCCGCTGATTTTGTACATTTGCCCACTGACAAAGACATGATCAGTCTATAATTTTAATGGTAGGTTTATTTGAACAGTGAGAGACAGAATAACAACAAAAAAATCCAGAAAAATGCATGTCAAAAATGTTATAAATTGATTTGCATTTTAATGAGGGAAATAAGTATTTGACCCCTCTGCAAAACATGACTTAGTACTTGGTGGCAAAACCCTTGTTGGCAATCACAGAGGTCAGACGTTTCTTGTAGTTGGCCATCAGGTTTGCACACATCTCAGGAGGGATTTTGTCCCACTCCTCTTTGCAGATCTTCTCCAAGTCATTAAGGTTTCGAGGCTGACGTTTGGCAACTCGAACCTTCAGCTCCCACCACAGATTTTCTATGGGCTTAAGTTCTGGAGACTGGCTAGGCCATCCAGGACCTTAATGTGTTTTTTCTTGAGCCACTCCTTTGTTGACTCGTCGTGTGTTTTGGGTCATTGTCATGCTGGAATACCCATCCACGACCCATTTTCAATGCCCTGGCTGAGGGAAGGAGGTTCTCACCCAAGATGTGACGGTACATGGCCCCGTCCATCGTTTCCTTTGATGCGGTGAAGTTGTCCTGTCCCCTTAGCAGAAAAACACCCCCAAAGCATAATGTTTCCACCTCCATGTTTGACAGTGGGGATGGTGTTCTTGGGGTCATAGGCAGCATTCCTCCTCCTCCAAACACAGCGAGTTGAGTTGATGCCAAAGAGCTCGATCTTGGTCTCATCTGACTACAACACTTTCACCCAGTTCTCCTCTGAATCATTCAGATGTTCATTGGCAAACTTCAGACGGCCCTATATATGTGCTTTCTTGAGCAGGGGGACCTTGCGGGCGCTGCAGGATTTCAGTCCTTCACGGCGTAGTGTGTTAACAATTGTTTTCTTGGTGACTATGGTCCCAGCTGCCTTGAGATCATTGACAAGATCCTCCCGTGTAGTTCTGGGCTGATTCCTCACCGTTCTCATGATCATTGCAACTCCACAAGGTGAGATCTTGCATGGCGCCCCAGGCCGAGGGAGATTGACAGTTATTTTGTGTTTCTTCCATTTGCGAATAATCGCACCAACTGTTGTCACCTTCTCACCAAGCTGCTTGGCGATGGTCTTGTAGCCCATTCCAGCCTTGTGTAGGTCTACAATCTTGTCCCTGACATCCTTGGAGAGCTCTATGGTCTTGGCCATGGTGGAGAGTTTGGAATCTGATTGATTGATTGCTTCTCTGGACAGGTGTCTTTTATACAGGTAACAAGCTGAGATTAGGAGCACTCCCTTTAAGAGTGTGCTCCTAATCTCAGCTCGTTACCTGTATAAAAGACACCTGGGAGCCAGAACTCTTTCTGATTGAGAGGGGGTCAAATACTTATTTCCCTCATTAAAATGCAAATCAATTTATAAAATGTTTGACATGCGTTTTTCTGGATTTTTTTCTCTCACTGTTCAAATAAACCTACCATTAAAATGATAGACTGATCATGTCTTTGTCAGTGGGCAAACGTACAAAATCAGCAGGGGATCAAATACTTTTTTCCCTCACTGTATATCATAACTGTGCTTAGGAATTAACATTACAGGCAACAATGGTAGAAATATGAAAATAACCAGGTTAAAAATCTCAGGTTATAAGCCTGAAATTACTGGTGTTAATGTACAGTATATTTTATTTACTGGGTGCAGGTTTTCTACTCGTTTAGTGCAAGAGGAGCTGTACAGCATATGATTGGGACCTCCGGTATTTGTTGGAGATTTTGTCATTTAAAGTAAAACGTTTGATAAAACAGGCTTAATTCGTGAGTGAAGCCATACCTATTCAAGATGGGATGGGAAACCCCCACCCTTTCAACCATGCACTATGCAATTACCAGAGCTCTATCAACAGGTTAGAAAGAACACAAAGAGAGAACATCAATAAATAATAGCATGCTGGTGAAATATCTGCTTAGGCCCTGAAATGACAACTCACTTCAGAATTTCAACAGTGCATTTTATAAGTCTAATAAGGATAAAAAATATATAAAAGATATATCATATATAAATTATGTTTAACATAATGATAAGGTATTGATGCTTGTTGTCCTAAAACAACCTCATTCCCCAAATTGACCCCCAACCTATCCCTCCCATGGTCACACTATGATCTTTCGTCGATCAATTGTCCACCATGTCAAAGGGCTTTATACAAAAAAAAAATGTCCCTAACCGTGCCCCACCTTGCCCCCCTCCCAAATGTTCCATTGTCCAGACACACAGGAACAGATGAACCAGGGTCTAATCTAGTACTCTTTCTCTGTGCACAGAGAGAACAGACAATACCAGCTGAATTAGAGGGGCTGTTGCTTCCCGAAGGCATCTGATTTGAGGAGCGGGATCTGTCCTGACAGGGCTCAACCAGACTTCCTAACCCAATCATATAGTATTTCAGCCAGCCCATCACACAATGACACATTGCACAATCTTAGCCCATAACACACAGGTTGCTTGCATGGGCCCCTATTCGATTCGTCCTGGTAACCTTGACTTTTTTAACATTGAAAAAATGAAATAATTTGTTTTTACATTGTACAGGTGTGAAATGCTGTGCAGTAAGGAAAAGTTTTTGACCGATTTGACTGTATAAAGTCCAATATCATACAACCCTCAGAAAATCTATCATTTCAAAACGTTTAAGGTTTGGAGTCAATAAGGTGGACTGCCAATGAACAAAACGGTGCCTGGGTGTTTTTATGTAAAAAAAAAAATAAACAAAGCTACATTGTTACAATGACAAAAATTGTCTGAAGCAAACACAGAATAGAACAGCCAGGGTATAAATAGAACTGTTGTATGTTGTTTTTGAAATGCAATATTTTTACTCTGTTGTTTATCTCTCCTAGTTGAGGTGGCACCATGGAGCAATCCCTGGCGCCTGGCCTGTCTACTGGGCATTTTCAGCTTCCTGGGGTCGGTCACACCCCTCCATGTGGCTCCTGTGACGACGGGCCTCCGCTCCGCCTTCTCGGCGACGCGGACCAATAGCATCCTGGGAGGCACCCAGAAGGCTGTGACCTTCAACAAGCTCCTGGTCAACACAGGAAGTGATTTCAACTCAGACACAGGCCACTTCCGCTGCAGAATCTCTGGGGCCTATTACTTCTCTTTCACGTTGGGGAAATATCCCAAGAAGATGCTGTCTGTCATACTGGTGAAGAATGGGCAGGAGGTGCAGGCTATAGCCTACGACGATTACAAACAGAAAGGGAGGAAGGTCCAGAGTCAAAGTGTCATGATCAGCCTGAGGGCCATGGACACAGTGTGGCTGATGCTGCAGGACAGTCCTCAGTATGCTCTATACAGCAACGCTGGCCCTTACATCACCTTCACTGGTTACCTGGTGTACCCCGACATCTCCGCCACTGGCTATCTCAACAACCACCTATCCCTGCCAGGGCAGCCCTACCCCAACTCCAACTGCCCCCCTCCTGGAGACCACAGGTACGGCTGGAGCGGTAGTGCTGAGGCCCCTGTGGAGCCTCGCTCTGCCTTCTCCGTGGCCAGGACATCCCCGGTCCTGGGGGAGAATGGTGGCGGGCACCAGGAGAAGGAGCCTCTGACCTTTGACGTGGAGTACGTCAACATCGGAGGGCACTTTAACAAGACGTCGGGCCGCTTCACATGCCGCTACCCTGGGGCCTACTACTTTGCCTTCACGGTGGGGAAGCACCCACGTAGGGCAGTGTCAGTCAAGCTGATGACGGGCCATGGCGAGGTGCAGGCCATGGTGTTTGACGAGGACACGTCCAGGAGGAGGGAGATGCAGAGCCAGAGTTTGCTGCTGTCGCTGCATAGGGGGGACAACGTGTGGCTCTACAGCCAGCAGGACGAGCGCTACGCCGTCTACAGCAACCAGGGACGCTACACCACCTTCTCAGGCTTCCTGGTCTACCCAGACGCTGAGCCCACCACCACCACCAGCCAGGACCTTGACAAAACTCACTTCTGAGGGTTCTGAGTTCTTCAAAACACACTGGACCCTCCTTGAAATGTACATGGTGCTATGGTTACAAAATCAAACTTGTGAAAGTGTGAATGTCAGTGCTAAGTTACACTATGCTTCATAGGCTTTGTGTAGAACCGCTGTAGTCAGCTTCTGGGTGTGGATGGAACAACAACAGCAGCAAACTCTGAAAAATGGGGCAGAGATGTACATATATTATACACATCTTATACACAGATACACATTTGTTTGCCCTTCTATATTGATTCCATAGCCATTTCCTTCAAAGTATTAAATCATTCTACAAGATGGAGCTGTGAGTTAACATTATCACACATAATCATGTAATGTTTCTCTTTATTACCACATTTTCAGTGGAACATTTTATGTTTTGTTTTTGGCTGCGTTTAAACCAAAGTTATAGGTTATATGTTAGTATATGATGCTGGATCGTCAGGATTCCTTGGATACCTCATGTTTATTTTCTCTAATTCACCAAAGGCTATGGGGTATAATAAGTAGAGCTTTCCTATGTAATCTTTATATATGCAGACTTGCTTAGTGACAGAATTATATATCCTTACTGAGCAGATGTTTTTGCAAAGACTCAGCAAAACTAATCATTTAACTTGTGTAGTGATTGCATTGAGTAGAGACTACTGTGTAAATACTGCATAGTTTTCCTGAATGCCTGTATGTAGTTAGATAACCTGAATATGATGTAGTTATGAATGTTTGATCTATTCTGAATGCATAGTGAAAGAATATTAATTAAAGGAAAAGTTTACCCAAAATCCAGAAACTCCCAAGTGATTCAATACATTGAAACTAGTTCAGTGGAGTTTGCCCTCTCCCCCTCTCTCTCCCTGTAGTGCTGTACTGAAACAGCTGCAAAACCCGTTTTGCAGCTGCTCTGTTGGCAGTGAATTCATGATTCAGAAATCTGCGAAGTATGGACAAATTCGTTGTTTTATTGAAAGTGTACGCCCCAAATGAGCTAATTGTCTTGAGTCAAGAAATGTGTACTTTTTCACCTAAAACATTTGCGATTATTTTATATCATTATTTTATGTAGCCGACTGCCACAGCAGCGGAGATGGGTAACAACTGCGCATTTGCTCTTGGGGGAATCCCTGCTACGTAGAAACGGCACGTTATGCCCTTAAGTTTTTTTCGGCAGAGAAATGAAGACAATGTTACACATTAGTTATACAAAGTAAACAACAACCTACAAATATGTCTGACAACGAAAACGTACAAGTGATGAAGAAAACTACTGGAGAGGTGCCCATGGTGTTGTCAAACTGTATTTGAGCCTGAGTATTCGGACGAAGAATTGAGGCAAATTCAGCTTCAGATGGCCGCTGCTGCTCTAGCCATCAAATTTAATGGTCTGCCTATCCATGTGAGAGACGCAGACTCGGTCTCGACCTTTAAGTCTTTACTGAAGACTCATCTCTTCAGTAGGTCCTATAATTGAGTGTAGTCTGGCCCAGGGGTGCGAAGGTGAACGGCAAGGCACTGGAGCGACGAACCGCCCTTGCTGTCTCTGCCTGGCCGGCTCCCCTCTCTCCACTAGGATTCTCTGCCTCTGACCCTATTACGGGGGATGAGTCACTGGCTTACTAGTACTCTTCCATACTCTCCCTAGGAGGGGTGTGTCACTTGAGTGGGTTGAGTCACAGACGTGATCTTCCTGTCTGGTTTTGCGCCCCCTCGGGCTTGTGCGGTGGAGGAGATCTTCGTGGGCTATACTCAGCCTTGTCTCAGGGTAGTAAGTTGGTGGTCTGTTGATATCCCTCTAGTGGTGTGGGGGCTGTGCTTTGGCAAAGTGGGTGGGGTTATATCCTGCCTGGTTGGCCCTGTCCGGGGCTATCGTCGGACGGGGCCACAGTGTCCCCCGACCCACCTGGCCTGATGACTCCTGGCTGTCCCCAGTCCACCTGGTCGTGCTGCTGCACAGCCAGAAGATGACTGACCACCCATTAGAGCCTGGTTCTTCCTAGGTTCCTGCCTTTCTAGGGAGTTTTCCCTAGCCACTGTGCTTCTACATCTGCATTGCTTGCTGTTTGGGTTTTAGGCTGGGTTTCTGTATAGCACTTTCTGACATCTGCTGATGTAAAAAGGGATTTATAAATACATTTGATTGATTGATTGATTGATATCCTCCTACTTTGAAGGGGTAATGGCTCTACAGTCTAGACGATCCTATCCGCCAATCAGGGCTGTGTATGTAAATATATTTAAATACACACCCACATAATCAGACTGAGCATTTCAATGGCAAAAGGAGGCTCAGGAAAATAAATGAAAATAAATAATGAATATTGAGATCCGAACCAAATTGGATCCGTAAAATTCCTGAAAGGATCCGGTCATTTAAAAAATATATATATATCTGATCCGATTCGGATCCCAGGTGGACCAGATCCGACCCAAAACAAATAAAATCAAATTGAATTTGCCACATGCGCCAAATACAACAGGTGTAGACATTACCGTGAAATGCTTACTTACAGCCCTTAACCAACAATGCATTTATTTCTTAATAAAAAAAGTAAAATAAAACAACAACAACAAAAAAGTGTTGAGAAAAAAAGAGCTGAAGTAAAATAAAATAACAGTAGGGAGGCTATATACAGGGGGGTACCGGTGCAGAGTCAATGTGCAGGGGCACCGGCTAGTTGAGGTAGTTGAGGTAATATGTACATGTGGGTAGAGTTAAAGTGACTATGCATAAACAATTAACAGAGTAGCAGCAGTGTAAATAGATGGGGTGGGGGTGCAAGTAGTCCGGGTAGCCATGATTAGCTGTTCAGGAGTCTTATGGCTTGGGGGTAGAAGCTGTTGAGAAGCCTTTTGGACCTAGACTTGGCGCTCCGGTACCGCTTGCCGTGCGGTAGCAGAGAGAACAGTCTATGACTAGGGTGGCTGGAGTCTTTGACAATTTTGAGGGCCTGGATGGCAGGAAGCTTGGCCCCAGTGATGTTGTCACGATCGTCTAAGGAGGAGGACCAAGGCGCAGCGTTGAAGGTGAACATATTTATTAAATTAATGATCACACGATCAAAACAACAAACGATAACGTGACGTCTACGGTTTAAACACAAACCAACACGAACAAGAAACCACAAATAATGAATGCCTAACGGCTACCTAAGTATGACTCCCAATCAGAGACAACGAGCTACAGCCGTCTCTGATTGGGAGCCACCCTGGCCAACATAGATATACAACAACTAGAACAAAACAAATGAAAACTCACACCCTGGCTCAACATACTAGAGTCCCCAGAGCCAGGGCGTGACAGTACCCCCCCCTAAAGGCGCGGACTCCGACCGCGCCAACCAAATACCACAGGGGAGGGACCGGGTGGGCACTCCGCCTAGGCGGCGGATCCGGCTCCGGGCCTGATCCCCGCTCCCTCTCCCCGCTGGCCGGAGCTGGACTGCACACTGGTGGAGCGGATTGCTCTAGCTCCGGCGTGAAGCATCTGACCGGTGCCGGACCAGCCACCGGTGGAACAGGCACGGGCCGTGCCGGACTGACGACGCACACCACTGGCTTGGTGTGGGGAGCAGGAGCGGGCCGAGCCGGGCTGACGAAGCGCACCACTGACTTGGTGCGGGGAGCAGGAATGGGCCGAGCCGGGCTGACGAAACGCACCACTGACTTGGTGCGGGGAGCAGGAACGGGCCTTGCCGGGCTGACGAAGCGCACCACTGACTTGGTGCGGGGAGCAGGAACGGGCCGAGCCGGGCTGACGAAACGCACCACTGACTTGGTGCGGGGAGCAGGAACGGGCCGAGCCGGGCTGACGAAGCGCACCACTGACTCGGTGCGGGGAGCAGGAACGAGCCGAGCCGGGCTGACGAAGCGCACCACTGACTTGGTGCGAGGAGCAGGAACGAGCCGAGCCGGGCTGACGAAGCGCACCACTGACTTGGTGCGAGTGGCAGGAACAGGCCGGACCGTACTGGGAACACACACCACTGGCCCTACGTGGGGATCAGGAACAGGCCGGACCGGACTGGCAACACACGCCAGTACCTCTCGCCGTGCCTCTACATCCTCCTTCCCCCTGGTGACCAGTGACTCCCGTAACCTGGCGGCCTCCTGCTGCCCCGTCGTCCACGGCGTTAGCCCCCCCCCTAAAAATGTATGGGCTTCACTCCTACCCATGGCCAAGGCCTCCATCCCTCTTGCCAGACTCGCACTCATCTCCTCCCAAGTCCATCCTCTCTCCTCGTCACGCTGCTTGATCCAGTCGAGGTGGTTTCTTCTGTCACGATCGTCTAAGGAGGAGGACCAAGGCGCAGCGTTGAAGGTGAACATATTTATTAAATTAATGATCACACGATCAAAACAACAAACGATAACGTGACGTCTACGGTTTAAACACAAACCAACACGAACAAGAAACCACAAATAATGAATGCCTAACGGCTACCTAAGTATGACTCCCAATCAGAGACAACGAGCTACAGCCGTCTCTGATTGGGAGCCACCCTGGCCAACATAGATATACAACAACTAGAACAAAACAAATGAAAACTCACACCCTGGCTCAACATACTAGAGTCCCCAGAGCCAGGGCGTGACAGATGTACTGGGCCTTACGCACTTGCAGTCGGAGGCCGAGCAGTTGCCATACCAGGCGGTGATGCAACCAGTCAGGATGCTCTCGATGGTGCAGCTGTAGAACTTTTTGAGGATCTGAGGACCCATGCCAAATCTTTTCAGTCTCCTGAGGGGGAATAGGCTTTGTCGTGCCCTCTTCACGACTGTCTTGGTGTGTTTGGACCATGATAGTTCGTTGGTGATGTGGACACCAAGGAACTTGAAGATCTCAACCTGTTCCACTACAGCCCCGTCGATGAGAATGGGGGCATGCTCAGTTCTCTTTTTTTCCTGTAGTCCACAATCATCTCCTTTGTCTTAGTCACGTTGAGGGAGAGGTTGTTATCCTGGCACCACACGGCCAGGTCTTTGACCTCCTCCCTATAGGCTGTCTCATCGTTGTCGGCCAACTTAATGATGGTGTTGGAGTCGTGCCTGGCCATGCAGTCATGAGTGAACAGGGAGTACAGGAGGGGACTGAGCACGCACCCCTGAGGGGCCCCCATGTTGAGGATCAGTGTGGCAGATGTGTTGTTACCTACTCTTACCACCTGGGGGCGGCCCGTCAGGAAGTCCAGGATCCAGTTGCAGAGGGAGGTGTTTAGTCCCAGGATCCTTAGCTTAGTGATGAGCTTTGAGGGCACTATGGTGTTGAACGCTGAGCTGTAGTCAATGAATAGCATTCTCACATAGGTGTTCCTCTTGTCCAGGTGGGAAAGGGCAGTGTGGAGTGCAATAGAGATTGCATCATCTGTGGATCTGTTGAGGCGGTATGCAAATTGGAGTGGGTCTAGGGTTTCTGGGATAATGGTGTTGATGTGAGCCATGACCAGCCTTTCAAAGCACTTCATGGCTACAGACGTCAGTGCTACGGGTCGGTAGTCATTTAGGCAGGTTATCTTAATGTCCTTGGGCAAGGGGACTATGGTGGTCTGCTTGAAACATGTTGGTATTACGGACACAGTCAGGGACATGTTGAAATTGTCGGTGAAGACACTTGCCAGTTGGTCAGCACATGCTCGGAGTACACGTCCTGGTAATCTGTCTGGCCCTGCGGCCTTGTGAATGTTGACCTGCTTAAAAGTCTTACTCACATCGGCTATGGAGAGCGTGATCACATAGTCATCCGGAACAGTTGGTGCTCTCATGCATGCTTCGGTGTTGCTTG